GGAGGGTGACAAAGGTCTCGAGGAGCTCGAGGTGGGCGGCGCAGTCTGCGGTTGAGGGGACGGTGTTGGATATAGCGGTGGACTGGGTTGTTGCGAGCTTTGATTGTTGTTGGTGCTCGACTGAGGGGGTTCTAAAGTGATTGTGAGCATAGGTTCATTCTTGATTCTGAGGGAGGGCAAACGAACTGGCTAGAGAGAATGGCCGGCATTTTGGCGATGGTAGTAGGATCCGGTCCTTTACAGTTTTGGTGTTGTTTTATTTGAGGGTATCTTGAGTTTTGGACAATCTCTCAACCGGCTCTAGAGTTTAAGTTCAGTCGAATGGGTACAATAGACAAGAAGAATGAAGACGAAGCTATCAGTCAATCTTCTTCAGCTCTTCAATACAAAAGGGGACATGCCACGCCTCTTATCAGGACAACAGAAGCCCATTCGAACGAGCAGGGGTGAGCTTTATCTCGCTGCATCGTCGCACATGACAAGCAACAGCCCTGTGACCGCTTCCACCGAGTCCCAAAACGGCATGGAGGTGAGCAGGTTTCAGGACGCCAGCGCAAGACGGATCGCTGTGCCATCTTGTGCCATCTGACAACGGCAAGACGTGATTGGTGAGGTGGCCGTACGGTCCACGGATAGGCGTAACGGGCGACTCAGGCGGCTGGGCCGGGAACGCGGGGTGGTCCACGGTTGGCGGTGGTGGGAGGATGGGAAACTTGCGCATGTCCACCAGCGAGACGGGGTTGTTTCTCGTCTGTTGCGGTAAAGTCGGTGACTCGGCCCCGCTAATAGAATCCCACCGGGGTAACGGCGCTGGAAGTGTTCCGATCTGTTGGAGTCTTTGGATCGACTGGACGAAGAGAAGAGACACAGGTGCTTCGAGACTGAGGGATTCTTAGGCTCGGTCTGGGTTCTGTTAGCGTCGCTTTTTGTTCAGATTAGGTGTGGGGGGCTGAGGTTTCATTCTGCGATTGGGGGAAGTGGCTGGAATTTTCACTTGTGATTCTTCAGCTTCACTCTACATACATGTACACTCTCACTCACCTTCCCTCACATCATGAGTGAGAGGCTGATGCAACCAAGTCATCTCAAGAGACCGTCGAACACAACCATCACGTCTTCCTCCCTCGTAGCTCTTACATGAAACCGTTTTTTTCCACGAGTCGCCCAGATCCTAATCGGGACAGGCACGACGTGTTGGTTTCACAAGCAAACACTCATCTTCAACCTTTACTGACAAACTCATCTACGAGAGGAGGCCACAGCCTGGCTCGTACACCCTCTCATTCAAACTCACGAAAGACCCTCCTCCATCAATCACCTTCACTTGTCTCCATCGAAGCAGCTGTAGAAACCCTCGCTGATAAGCTTCTCTAGCTTTGGCTTCTCCCAAATAAGCTAACTTACCTGCCGAGTGGAGGCCGTCAGCTGCTCCCAAAACTATGTGCCTATAAGCAAGCAGGCTCTGGCTCCCTGCACCTTTCTTGCATATCTCACGGTCCAGAATCTCATTGGGGGCCAAGCTCACTCGTCCTACGCCGTAGGCAAATGAGGGCCGCGATCGCATCACCACCTTTGTCCAACGACCAACGCCAACCCAATGGTACAGAGCCCACGTTGCTGACAACAGTCTGATTCGATCGTCGGTCAAACCGGCCGAGACTGGCATATTGAGGCTTGAAAACCATCGACTCTATGCTGTAACCTCTGCCTCCGTGGGACCATGTCTGTGTCTCCCTTCCCACCCCGTTCTGCTTGCTGTTTGCTCGACGAGGGTTCTAGATCTTGCGGTTTGTACCACGCCGTGTCGCTGTCAATCGTCTGTATACGGACCCCTAGTCCGAGGTGAACCCAGCCCAATTCCTGCATGTCTTCACGTAGATCCAATCAAGCACCCTCGCGTTGGAGGATGAACGCCTCCTGCTTTCCCAATTCAGCATTTCATCTCGAAACCTGTTGGTACCAACAGGACATGGGGTGTGGTCTGCAATATTTCTCCTTTGATTGCGGCTTTGCGGCGTAGAATGAAGCGAAGCCCAACACCCCCAGTCCTCACGCTCCTTTTCTTCGCCATGTTCCTGCAAATATCCGTCCATGCCCCGTCACTCGGCTGGCCGCATTTCTGGCCTTTTCTTCGTCATATCCCTTTTCGTGTGCCTTTGAGACTCTATCATTATGAGAGGCCCGTGGCTTTTATTGCTTTTTGTAGCTGCTCTGGGGCCTGTCCTTGGTGAGCTGGATGTTAGACAGGCAGTGAGCAGCGCCACCTCTTCGGAGAGCCCCCTTTCTTCTGCTACTTCATCCGTCTTCTCCGCTCCGACATCCGTTCCGGCGCCGACTATCAACAGTAGCGTGTATGACCTTTCGCAACACTTCTGCCGCATCTGGAGACATGCGAGTGAGTTTTAGCCCCCCCTTCGCCCTACCATCTTCTGATGAAGTCTAAACTGGTTCACCGTAGGTGTTTTGGCCGATGGAAAGATTTATGTCGATGGCGGCAACACGTACGTGCCAAAGAACAATAAGACATTCTACAACACAGAAGCCGGCCAATATGACGCGGGAATGCGTGAGCATCCAACCATCGGAGCCCTATGCCTTGTCTTTCTAACGCACCCCAGACACTCAACTCCTAGTCCTGGACCTCTCACAAAACTTCACAAACCAGGAAACTAGCCCGTACTCGTCCATATTCAAGAGTCCCGACGTTCCCAACGGCCTCATCGAACACGCGCTGTGGTACTCCCAGACCACCCGCAAGATCTATCAGCTCGGAGGGTGGTTCTCTTTCAACAGCCCCAATAATCCATCCTTTATTGCCGACCCGAATATACCCGAGCCGGCCATCTGGGAGTTTGACGTCGACGGCGGGCGATGGTCCAAGTCGATCGACTTTCAGGTGTCGAATAATGGCGAGATTGTGGATAGGCCTGGCGCTGCTGCCTTTTGCGACGCGTCGACGTTGAACAGGAGTTACATCTTTGAGGGATACGTGCAGAGGAGATCTAGTCCTGCGAACGCTGCGTATACAGCCTCAGCTGACTTTCGGTGTAAGTTTATTTTGATACCCTACTTCCTCTACCTCAGCGGCGACAAAGGATCGAGGCCTGATATCTTGCAGTCCTCGAAGGCATGCTCGAGCTGGATACCGCAGAGCGCTCTCAGCCGAAGCTAACCAACATTTCTGTCCCGACATACGTCGGCCCGCGTATGAACGGCGCAATGGTTCACGTCCCCGTCGGCGAAAAGGGCATCATTGTCAATATTGGCGGCCAAACCACGCGCGACCCAACGCCTTTCGGTATCCGAATCGAGGGTGCCAACGCAGGAAACGTTAATGTAAGTCGCCAAATACTTTCTCCATCTTTAGCCCTCCCGAATTAACACACTCCAAAAAGACAAACCTCTCCTTCGTAGACATCTACGACGTCGAAACAGGCTTCTGGTTCCGCCAGGAAACCTTTGGCCTCCCCGACATCCCAACAGGCCGCTCCGACATCTGCGCCGTCCTCGTCCCCGCCGCCGACAAATCCTCCTGGAACATCTACATGATCGCCGGCGTCGAGAACTACGCGACCTACATCACCTCGGAAGAGATCTGGGTCCTCACTCTCCCGACCTTCACCTGGATCCTCGTGCACACCCGCGCCGACGGCATGTACGGCCACACCTGCCACGCCGTCGGCGAGAACCTGCTCATCGTGGGCGGCATGCAGACCAAGAATGACGGGGGGGTGCAGAACGTGAATACCTGCGCCGAACACATGCCTGTCGAGATCTTTTCGCTCGCGAGCCAGAATTATACGGGCCGGTATGATACGCAGGCTGCCAAGCGTCTTGCGCCCGTGCCGTCGCAGGTTGTTGCTGCCGTGGGCGGGACGTCGTCGGGTGGTGCGAGCCAGAGGGCGCCGAGGGCGTGGAGTGATGTGTATCTGCAGTACATCTTTGATCCGTCGCTGAGGAGGCCGGCGTATACGCCTGAGTATACCCTCGTCGTGGAGCCCAGCAGCACGGCGACGCCATCGTCGTCTGCTTCGTCGACGTCGCAGCCAGATTCGGACGGTCCGTCAAAGGGGGCCATCGCTGGCGGCGTGGTAGGCGGTGTTGCTGCCATTGCGCTGGTGGGACTCGGTGCGTTCCTGTTCCTCCGGCGGAGGAAGAAGAGGAGGGCGCATGAGGCGGCTGCAACGGAGGTATCGCGACAGAGTGCCATGTCAGAACTGCCAGGGTACACCCCCTACTCATCTCCCGAACCGAAGCCTGGCTTCCTCGACTCGCCGACATCGCCTGGTCACCACCACGACGTACATGCCCATGCTGCGGAGCTCGAGGTTCCAGCTAGTGCGAGCGAGATGCCGAGTAGTCCGCGGTACGGAGGCTCGTCGGTGGAGATGGGGAGCGATGCCACGGCGAGCCCAAGGGTTGGCGATATTAGCCCGCGGGTTGGTGATGTGAGCCCGAGGGTTGGCGATGTCAGCCCGAGGGTCCCTGGCGATGTTAGTCCTACGCTTGGAGATGATGGGTATGGGTATCATGATGGGCGACAGGCGGGAAATCACCCTGGAAGGTGATGTTTGCTCCGGTAGTGGTCTAGTACTTGGTGCACGATACAGTTCGTAGGTTATGGTGGATCTTCTCAACATGGAGGGCTTTGAAAGTCAGGTTACCATTCAAGACCTGGTCGATTTTCCTTTGGAAAAGACCTAAATAATCTTCTATTACGTGTAGTAATGTCTTGAACTCCGGGAAACATTCTGCAGTCCCGAGCTTTAGAAGGAAACTTCCATCGACTACGTGAAACGTCTAGTTCTCACTCAACTCTCGAATGATACTTGAGCGGGCATATCCTCTTCCGTTTCTTCTTAGGATTCTATGTGGCACTAATGCGTCCACACTCCCGCCCGTCCATTGACTCTTCGTGATGATGTCCCAAAGAAACTTGACTTGAATGACCAAACTGCGTTACTACTTCGCTAATAAGCTACTACTTTTGATGAATAACTTCAGATAGAATCGGAACCGGTCTCAGAGCTAACATCTTCGAATCCGCTGTCAGAGACAGAGAGGTAGCCGTCCTTAACGGCGTCATCCATATCCAAGTCTTCCAGATCGACAGCGGTATCCTCGTCAGGCGATGCTGAGGCGGACTCTGAGGCCACGGCCAACATAGTCGTACGGCTGGTGTCGGATTGATGATGTGAATAAGGCCCGTGAGCCGGCTGGCGGGGCTCTTGGGTATTGCCAAGAATCTGTTGGTTCCGCTCCTTGAGACGACTGTTCTCTTCTTGTACGGCCTCGATCGTCTTCCCCAGCTCGTCGATGTGGGCCTGTAGCTGAACTATCTGCGTCTGGTCGACATCTTTCAGCTCCTCAAGACGATTGATAAGATCTTCAGCTCGGCCCAGAGCGTCCTTCAGCTGGCAGATCTCGATCTGGTCGAAGTCGGCTATGGCAAGATCGACTTCCAGGACGTCCAGGGAAGAAGCCATGGTGTGTGATGGAAGACTTTTGGGGTCTTGTGGTGTTTAGATGGTTGGTTGAGACAATTGATTTGTGGTATTTGTAGGCTTTTGAGGGTGTGTAATGCCCCTTTGTGTTTGGGTAATGCTGAGAAAGAGGCTAAAGTTGACGTCTGTGTTTGTCAGTCAAGGTGTAATCTGAGATTCTGTGATGAAATAGAGAGGTTTAAGGAAGAGAGTTGAAGAAAAAACATGTCTCCTTTTATAAGAGTTCAATAGAAGCACTGGGTAGTCGGGCCTGTGCCAGCAAGGAAACATGAAGCAGACTATTCACATCACTACTTGTCGATTTTGTGAGTGAATACGAGCCAAAGCCCAGAATTTCTGGGGATATCATTGAGATTGAAGGTCGCAAAATTGAGTGACATTCATTTATGCACTCATAAACAGGCATAAAGGGACTAGAGAATTCAAAATGCTTGCACAAATATGAGTGAAGCACTCATAAACAACCAGAACAGGGGTCGAGGACGCAAGATGGAGGACCAAGCAAGTGATGAAGAGCTAAAGGGTGAAGTATGAAGCTGACCATACAGAAGAGGTTTAGAGGTCGCACAACTCATGACTAAGTGTTTGTGACGCACTCACATCAACCAGAAAGGGATTGGAAGTTGCAAAATGGGCGTCCGGGTGTGAGTGATTGAACTCGGAGGGCATCGACCCGGGCATTCACTTATGGGTGATGGGGCTAGGAGCTGTCTGCCAAGAAGCTTCGAGGTGACGACCAAAGGGGGAGTCATAGGAATTGGGCACATGGGCAATGACGGAGTGTGTGGAGTTGAGGAAGACGTGTAAATCAGGGGGAAAGGAAGCTCACCAACCTGCAACTCCAATAGTGTCGTATTGTCCTCTAGCTTAGTGATGTTCGGCTGATCGAAACTGCAGGACGTGAAAAGAGGTTATACAGCGGGGCCAAAACGAATGCGGCAAAATGGGGAGCCCGACAAACGTTGTGTGTGGGTGAGGGAGGGGCGGATGTAAAAGCCGACGGGGAATGCTTTCACGGGGTGGTATTGAGATCTTGAGATAACCAGTGATGCTGATGGATCAAAGAACAGATGCAAAAGTCTCCTTTATTTGGAGGGAAAAGGCCACCAAGCAAAAAATGAGACGGAAAAAACGAACTACACAAGGGCGTTGTTGGTTGGTTGTGTTGGCTGGCTGGCCTTCCGTTGGAAGACCTTGGAGAGCAGTTGTTCTGGTTGGAGTTCGATTGAGAAGTTGGAGCGAACGAGGACCATTTATATTCAAGATACCTTGGCCTAATCAATCGCCACGAAAATGAAGCCGGATATCTGTTTCTCATCCACAGTAATATCAACAGTCTTCAGTGGTGATGGCTTCAAAGCAGTTTCCGAGAATTTGGATCCTGCTTCGTGCCACACCTCAATCGCAAGTGGGTGTCCTCGAACGACATGGGTTCGGCGCTTATGGTCTTGCTAAGCGCCTTGAAGGGTCGACAAACCAATGGTATTCAAGTTAACCAAGATGTTGTGAGCGGGAGGGCACCAGACACCAAAGAAGACTCTCGCTCCCGCGTGGAAAGGCTTGAGGAGTTCAGAAGAGTCCTACGTAGGCACTGGGATAGATGTATAGATCATTCATCCCGATGTACTCGAGAGACTCATCAAAACCTCTCGATGATTGAGAGAGTTAAACATCAAGGATAGGCGACCAAATCTCACCTTTGAGAAGGCTCAGAGCTGGGAGTGCAGAACGAGATGCTAAAATTACAGACCAATCATGTCTTCAACCACCCAAACGTTGGTAGGCCTCCGACATGACCGATCACCCTCACATATTTTTGCGTTGGGAGCATGTTTGAGGATTAAAGCTACTCCCTCCAGGCACCAATTTTACAAAGAAGCCAAGACCCTCGGCCCCAATTTCTGCTTTGCTGGAGGTCTTGTCATTGCATTCCCACCGCAAGCAAAAGAAAGACACCAAGAGCGCGATGCAGGCACTCAGGAACGGAAAGACCTATGCTGAGGCGGCAGCTGTTGGCCTGCTGAGATCGAAATCGCTTCCGCCCGGTGTCAGCAACCCGCAGCTACTACGAGGGGTCGGCGGAGAAGACACGGAGCCACCACCGGAAGAGAGTGGAGATGAGTCCGACGAGCCATCAAGACTGAGGAAGGTCCGTTAAAGCATGCATTTGAGCAAGACAAACCAGGCCACTGACATGTCTGGAACCTTCAAGGCCGCCGACTGGGTTCGTGAAAACCCTGGGACGACTGTATGCTATGGCGTGAGTGCAGGCAGTCTTGTCGTTTTGGCCGCACCAGCTCTCGTCGTTGCACCAGCCCTGGGACTTGCGGGGTTTGGCTCGCAGGGAATTGTCGCCGGTAAGTGAATGTCTCAAAGCTGAGGCATAGTCAATCGTTACAGTTAAAAGTCTTCATCACTGACTCTTTCGGGTCGATAGGCTCTGCGGCAGCGGGCTTTCAAGCCGGAATCGGGAACGTGGTGGCGCCGAGCCTCTTTGCTACCCTCCAGAGCGCCGGTGCGGCTGGCTACGGTGCCGCGGTCGTCAACGGAGCTATACAGGCAGGCGCCGGGGTTTCTGCTACTGCGTTTGCTTGGTGGGGAGCAAAGAAGAAAGATTGCGGGGAGACTGATAAGGAGGAAAATGCAGGTGGGGATAGCAAGCCAGGCGCCGAGCAGGACTAAAAGCAGGAAGCAATTAAGACTTCTCTATGCACCTAGATCCAAGGACGGATGGATTGATACTAAGCTCATGATGAACAGAATACCACGTACCGCTGGGAATCAATCATTGTGAACCTTTGACGTTGTAGATGCAGAGGCCCCGTTCGGGAAGCTGATCTGCGTGATGCCACAGCTTCTGTTTGTAACCAGTCTGGACACACTAGACCTCGGAGTTGAGATCTGCCAGTAACTGACAGTCCGACGTCGCCAACTTCGGAATGAGACCATTTCACCATCCTTATTAGAGTCAACCCCCGTAGCGCCACCGGTGCCATTACAGACTATCGCCTTCATCTTGCGAGTCTTCCCATTGACGCAGCTGCGGGAGAAACGGGAAGGGCCGTTTTGCGGATCGTGCTCCTCAAGAGTGATTGCTTGTGTGCTATGCTCGGTGTTAATGCCTGTCTGTCTAGGGACTCTGGACATGGGATGTAAAGCGATGACCAAGAGACTCAGCGTCAGAAGAGCAAACTTTGACAACGAACTTTTCGTCTGTATTCTCGTCAAACAATCTAACATTACCAAGGCAACACTCAGCGTATTGGTGAAAGGTGGTTTTCGAATTGATCGAAGGTCACTATACGGTAATGAGTTGAGAGCAGCTTCTCAAGTTTCATGAGGCTTCGAAACTAGAGGCCATTGGAACAACGACCCAACTTCAATTCTCCAGCACCGCAACGAGGCCTGCTAAGCTTTCAAGGCCGCCCGCAAAACCCTGGAGAACGCGTCGCCTACGGGCTTCAAGCGGTGTCATCCGGGGTTTCCTCTGCCCAAAAACAGAGTCAAAAAGCATCAAGGACTCTTTCTGTATGAGCGGGTAATTTTTTGGCGTTGACGTCTCGAATTTCTCGGTTCGTCCGATGCGTCGCGGATCTGCAGGCTGTCTGCGTCTGCTGTAGTGAGCGTGACTGGCCTTGAGACGAAGCTTGACTCGGTTCACTGTCTTTGCGCCCTCCTTCTGTCGTCGTTGAGGTTCTCGAAGGGCCGATTGGAGAAGCACAAGGAACCCTCAAGTCGGAGACTCCGTCAAACTCTGCAGTTCGGGCGTAAGGGTGTTGGTCTCCGTTGGATTGCGAAATTTTTAAAGGCAAACAGTAGGCAACTGAGTGCGAAAAGGTCATTTCTAGTAGACGGTCATCCAGGTACAACTGCGCATAGTATGGCAAACTTCGTGCGATGGACTTGGCCCTCAAGCTCCATGTCACAAAGGTTCGCAAAGTTGCCACAATGCAAATAATAAAAGGCTGCGCAGATCAAGATCTCTCTCAATACGCTCCTCCTGGAACCTTTGAAAGTGCACCTGAAGCACTTGATCGCGAAAAAACCACATCAGCTTCACAACTTCGACCAGCACCTTCACGTTCAGTTTCTCATCTTCTTGCCAGGAATCATGCACTTTTTCAAGACCGGCCTACCCGTCCTTGCCGTTTGTTCAGTCATACAAGCCATCCCTGTCAACACTGGCGAAAGACGCGATACAGCCTTACACCGCCACGATGGTCTCCAAGCTTCAGACACACGTCAGGAGAACAGAAGTGCGGGCGGTGTCGTGCCTCCTCATATTCTCAGGAATATTACCCGCAGTCCTTTCGCCACAGACGATGAGCGGAGCACTGCAAATCGGACCTTGGTGATCGATGGGGAGCGGCGGGGGCCGCAGCAGTCGACGGATTAATCGGTAGCTGTTGGGACTCAACCAAAGCCTAGAGGTGACCGACAAGACAGTCGCAGTTTAGTCTCACTAGGCGAGCTTCGGTAAAGAACAGAATCACTCCGCGATCTTGCTTCCCAGGTAGCTGACAACATGACAAAAAGAAAGGGTCGCGTTTCAAGTATTCAGCTCGGACGCAGGGACGGCAGACTGCCATCCGGAGACTCAGTCAACTCGGTCTTTGCGAGCCCCGCAAGCCCGGCGGAATACGGCCGAGTGTGGAGCTGGTGATGGTCTTGGTGAAACATCTTGTCCTATGCGCCGTCTTTGGGAGGAGATAGCAGGCGATCCATCGAACCAAGAGCACACGATCCCGAAGCCAGCTTCTCGCCCTGCGTTTGGCGGCGTTTCTTTCCTTCGCAACCACGAAACAGACCTGGCTCGGAACGACCGGCAATCTCTGCTGCATGCCGACACTCACTTTAATGGGTGGTTAATGGTACCTTATCACTGATTGCCTCAACGGCAACGCATCTTTGAGATCATTGTATCTCTGGGCGGAAGAAACCGTGGCTAAATATTGCATGCCGCGAGCTGGAGAAGGCTGCGGAAACCTTGGTCAAGTCTAGATTTCTCGCTACTTTATCGAAATGAAGCTATTCCCATCAATTCCCTCGCATTGGCCACTGACAGGCCACGTGATGTAGATCGGCAAACCTTCGAGGTATCCGAACCTTGGAAAGTTTGCAGGCTCTGCTGGACCGTGCCACACAACTATTTGACATGCTGACTCAAAATCCGAGCACGAAAGAGAGACGGCCTCGGTAGCTTCGGGGGACCAAGGGGTTTCCTTCGGGATCATCTCCGGGAACGGGAGTCTTCCGGGTCCGGGTGATCGCGACGCCAACTGCCGACGATGCACTGGTTTTCCTTGGTTTTGCTCGGGCCCAGAGGGATAATGCGGGCCCGTTTCTGGGGTACTTCCAAGGAAATGTCACGGATCCGGAGCGTTGCATCACCTGCCGGATCCTGGGCGCGACGGTGGGCGGAGGCTCGAAAAGACCACTCCGACTGACTCCCTGAGGTCACACTGTTCGGATATGAAGGGAAAGCTTGCGCATCTATATACAGCACACGCCACACGGTAAACCACAGTTCGGGAAGAAGAGAGTTTGTGTGGTATTCGTTAAAAGCGGCTATGCAAAGACACGCGTTGTATGACGTCCAGCCAGGCCCAGACAAACGAGTTTCTCCATGAAAATAGCCCACGGGGAGTTGGGGACAGTTTGATGTGGATGAGCAATGGTGGCTGGACAATCCGATGTGCAACGCTCATTGCACAGCACCAGCACACTTTAATTGGGGCTCTTTTTTCAGGTAAAGTTGAGAGTTGATCCAACATGGGGCGACAACTCAGGGGCTCGCAAAAGTTGTCTTGGGTAGATGACATAACCGCGCAGGGATATCCCAGTATCACCGCCCACGTCCAGCAAAGTCGTATTTAGGAACCCCCAGAGGGCGCTTCTCCCTTTTCGTACACGTTGCTCAACGCCCATTTACTGCTATCTTATCTTTGGTCGGTCGGTCGTTCTCACATACGTGTGTTCACGGTTGTATTTCTCTCTTCTCCGGTCCACTGAGCCTCACTTTCAGATGCCGGCCGTCGCAGCTCCAACAGCGCCTTTCATTTCATTCTATTCTCTCATTCGTTTTGAAAGAAAACACACGCCCGTCCATTAGACCACACGCATGTTTGCTCGCAACACCCGAGCGAGACAAAAAGGCACCATGTGGGAAGAATCCACGCGGGGCCGGGAGGGGCAGCAGTTTAAAGAGCAGAGCCCATACAGCGACCACGATGCCGTAGGTGAAAAGGCATCGGCCGCCGCAGCCTCAGCGACAAGAAACAACGCAGACAAGATCAGATGCCTTGATGGGCTCCGTGGAATCGCCTGTTTACTCGTCTTCAATTACCACTTCCTATGGCCCTGGACGCCGGCCATCATGCTTGGCTATGGAGCCATGCCCCCCGGATCGCCCGAGCCGTACTTTGAACGGTCATCCCTGCCCATCCTGTGCCTCTTGCAACGAGGACGACCTATGGTGGCCATCTTCTTTGCCATCTCGGGATACGTCCTCTGCCGGCATATTCTGAGGGCGATTCACGAGCGCCGCTTCGAGGCAGCTTACCAGAGCCTCGCGTCGTCTGTCTTTAGGCGCGTATTCCGCCTCTACATCCCTCCCACCATCAGCATGTTCCTCGTCGCGCTGCTTGCTCAGATGGGCGCCTTCAAGTCCGAGTTTGAAATTTACAAAGGGCCCGACTCGAGGTACATTAACGGTACCGTCACTGTCGCCACACTGAACAACACTTGTGTGAATGGCACGTACTCCGTCGAAGGAGCCGCGGGGATCGCCAAGTTTCTCGGCTTACAGACCCCGGCTTTCCTGGGAAATGTCACAACTAACGACACAAACACGCTGTGCCTGAATGCCACGTCCCAACTCTTCATGCCTCCAATGCTGTATGCATTGGCAGATGACATTGAGGCCGCTTCCAGGGTGGTGAATGAGACGAGCAGCCAGAACGGCACTGCAATCAACATCACAATGCAGGACGTTGGAGACAAGGAGACACCTGAGAAACACAGGTCCTACCACGACCTTCTTCACCTGCACTCGAGACCAGCCCTTCTCGATGACGAGAAAAACTCGACCAACGTTACCAACCCGGTGAACTTCACTTGGGTCCAGCTAGGCGGCTCATGGGAGGAGCACCCCTTCATCCACGACAACATCACCTATGCTCTGAAGAACTTCACGAGAGCATACGTCGAGTGGGCCAACCCTTTCAACTTTGGACACTACCACACGCGCTACGATCCGCACACTTTTACCATCCCGATGGAGCTCCGCGGCTCAATGTTCATCTACCTGTTCCTGCTCGGAACGGCAGCGATTCAGGCAAAGTGGCGCCTTCGAATCGGTGCCTTCTTCTCCGTCTACAGCTTGATCCTGGGACGATGGGACATGGCCACGTTCATGGGCGGCGTCCTCCTCTCAGAAGCGGACATTAGACGGGCTGATCGAGGACTGATCCCCCCAGCGACGAATGGCAGGAAAGGCCAGCAGGCAACTCTGGGACAAAAGTTTTTTGGATCAAGGACAGCTCGATGGGCAGCGCTGTTCGTGGCACTCTACCTGCTCTCGTACCCCGACGCCGGCGCCGAATGGACGCCCGGCTTTACCCTCCTCTCCTCGCTCGTGCCACGGTACTACATACCCCTCTCCGGCTGGATGTTCTACCAGG